AAACATCATACTTGTAGCATAAAAGTGATTGGTTCATGAGTTGAATGCTCATTATCCTACAAATTGGGTTAGTATTATTACATATGCAGTACAAATTTGGAAAAGTAGATTATCAGAACATTACTTGAACTAATGTAAAGTTGAGAGTGCACCAGGTTGCAGAGAAAAAAGAGTATGAACAGATCTGATGGAGACACAGTCTGAAGTTCATCATGTGTCACACATCCATTGCTCAGTCCACAGGACATCTGCTTTCTGCTCAGTCTCTCACAAGGAATGCTATAATGTTTTTGTCTACACATAAGTTCAGAACTGTGAAACAATGAGTACAGAAGACAAAAATGTATGAAGATATGGGTCTTGCAAATATTAAGGACTGACTATAGTAAATTATATGATGTATTATCTTCTGTTATAACACCTACTCACCCAGATGTTATTCCATACTTACATAGGAAGACTCAGCTGCACAGAGCATAACTAAACCTGCTGAACTTGTAGTAACTAATTGTGAGAGTGAGCTCTGTTGCTTAGCAATCGTGAAAGTATCTTTCTTCACTTATGTCTATAAGTTAATTTGTAATTAATTTGTGCCTACTAATTAATATTGTTTGAAGATCTACAAATACCACATAGTTAATTACAAGCTGTGTCAACTGCCATTATCAACAACTAACACTTTTGCTTTCTCAATTACCTGGTCTCCTCGGTACTGGATATGCAATCAGTCTTTCCAACCTACACATGCATAAAAATTCAAACAAGCAACAGTTTAGAGTTGGACAACAAGTACCTTGACAATTATCTTCTCAATAGAAGAAATCATACATTCACTAAGTACTGTTATTCCCTTAGTAATTTATTAATTTACTAATACTAATTGAATGATCTTCAATGATACAAATTGTATTGGAAGAAGAAATAAAACCTTAAACAGATTAAGTTATGGAATCTTAATTCTTATATCATTTTCCAATAATAGAATAATTTCAGTTCAAATGAAAGGAAAATAAAATGTAAACAGATTTATACGCATAATGCAAGCCAGCCAATAGAACAATTTGTCAATACGATGAAAGGGAAGACAACTGGTCTAATATGTGACAACTGTAGATTTAGGAAGCTCTTCCTAATATATAAATATAAAATGAAAACAGAATTTACTAAATTTTTCATAGACCATATGTCTAATTTAAAAGAAAAGAATTAAGATGTCATTTGAGGGTATAATTACTAAGTATAAATAACCTAACTATAGATTTACTGTGAGATTTCATGTAGAGAAATGATGTATTGCTGAATATTTGCACAGAAAATCAAAACTGGTCCATAACATTGTATATCTGGGTAATGGGAATAAATTTTTCTTCGCTATCAGGGACACTTGTAGTAAGGATGAACGTAAGAATAAAATGTTTACCAGGAAGGTTGTCATCTTGAAAAGGTTTCCCTGTGGTACTCAAGGTAAGGAGGGGCCACCAGTCATGTTCAAATCCTTTCTAACATTGTGTTTCTACAATGCAATAAAAGGAATCTTTATTAAATTTGAAATCCCATTATGTTCTTAGATGTACTTTGTTGACATAAAATATGTCAACATTGTCTTATTCATTTTTACAGTATATATAATCTGTAAATGATTCCTAATATCAAATTATTTTTAAAAACTTGCATTTTGTACTCTTTGTTCTCAATTCATACACATCCCTCTTTTATGTTAAATATTACATACAGTCTGTTTTAGTCAGGAAATGTTGTTAGTCAAAGGGTTTCTAGCTTCGGTTCTCATTACAAATACAATACTGAAATAAAAAACAGAAAATTACATTCACAATCTAGAATTGTAATTCTAGTAGAATGCAACATTAGATCAATTTTTCTCTACTTATTCAAAAGAGCTATGATCTTTCACCTCAAAATGCAGCCATGAATATATCAAATGTCATAAATTAAAACACATTGCAGATTATGTTTCCTTTGCGATGCTTGTGATTGAGCTGATGGCTTTGTCCATATTGCTGTATCACATTTCTCACTTTGTGCATTATTAAAGAAAGATATTACTGACAAGTCAAAAATATAGCCACCTCACCTTGAAATGAAATAAATTTCTATGATCTCACATCTAGACTCAGGGTTTGTACTCAAGAGGTCTTGACTTTATGTGTCACATTCTTCTGTGTTTTATTGAAGCTTTTCCTAATTGCTAAAACAGAAATGTAGAACTAAGTTCATCTGGGCTCTGTGAATGAACACAGTGTGCATATAAATACATACCATACCATTGACATCCTTAACACTGATGTAACATACAAAACACAAGTTAACATACATACACAGAAACACACCACCATACATTCAGTCACATATATACAAAATACACACACACACACACACACACACACACACACACACACACAGGCTCCCAATGAGGTGGGTCTGTGGGATTTACTCATCGCAAATCCATGATTGTCACCCTGCTCTTTTGGATGGTGACATGACTGCAGTCCTGCAAGTAGAAAAAGTGAAATATTGTTAGGGAATGGAAATGAGTTTTGAAACAACTTGTACATTTTATTTATACCAAAAAAAGGGCCTTGTGCTACATAGGCTAGCACACATAGCCTAGCTAAGTCAGGAGGAACCTGACATTATTCTCTTGCTTCGAGCTCCCCAGTGCTGGATTATAGGCAAACATAAGCATAGCTGTTTTCATCAGTGCTGGGAAAGGATTTCAGATACTAATGCTTAAAATTGGAACACTATCACAACTGAGCCACATCCCGAGCAGTAAGTTTTGATTGAAGAAGTTCATTGCAGCCAGACAGTGCTCAGCCAAGAGGTGAAATCTTGATGTCCTTAGAAGTAATGTCAAAAGTTCTGGTCCCCAACACTCCCACCTAGTTCTCCTCATGCCCCATGTTTAGTGTCAATCATCTCCGTGTATCTCAGGATCTTTTCCATCTATTTTCCAGAGTCACATAGCAAATAGTTTTTTTTGTTGTTGTTGTTGACTTTGTTATTGTGTTTGTTGTTAGAGATGTGTAAGTTCAGTGCACCATTGGAGTCATAATGTACATCAGATGGCAAAGGTGACCCAATAGACCTTGAGGGGAGTCATTACATTAATCATATAATGGTGACATTACTGACATTTCAGGGATGGTCACTCTGGGTCTACAACATGATAGGTAATCATCAGTCTGAAAGTCTTATTAGGTAACATCAACTGGCCTCAAATTGATGATCTACTGCAACTGCCCAAGAGCTTATGTTATGGGTGTTTTTCACCATGGAAGGGGTTATTACAATTGGCAACTTGGGAACTCATGTTCTAGATAATTCATTTTTAAAATGAGCAATATCTTTTAATATCTCAAAAACAACATTAGTGTACTCCAAAATGGAGCTACGTAATTTTGAAGAGTTCTGGTAGAAAGTTTCTGGCTTCAAAAAACTGATCACCCTGGTTCGAACCATGAGTTACAAGGTGGGGCCTTGAGAATAGTCCTGGGTTTAACAACACCTACTATTCTTGAAGGGAAGTAGGAAGTGCTCACTGCCTTGCTCCATATCTAGGGCATCTGCAAATGTCTTCTACCACACAGGCACTAAACTCCCATGTGCAAATCCACAGAAACAACAAATTAAAATAAAAACAGGGTCTGTTTTTAAAGGCTACACAATGAAAGTACAGGTATAAATATAATGAAATATAAAACTATATATCTTTTTAAAAGAAGAGCTGAAATGTCTACAAGTGTTATTTTCCCTTTAGGATCAGAGTGTGATCCAAAGTCTATAAAAATGCATATACATATTAATTATGGTACATATAAACACACACAGAATGTTCTACCTCTTAGACTTAGCATTCTGATTCCAGGATTTCAAGCTTCCTTGAATCTCTGTGGTTGCATCCCTGGCTCTTATAAATTTTATGGGACAGGGTTTGGTATTATCACAATGTTATTATGTTTGTTCTCCTGTACACAGATATGTACACAGAAAAGAGCTGAGTCCTGATTATGGGGATGGAATCCCCTCCTGGGGCAGCTTGATATTTCTTTTAATCCAAAAGTTGTCAGTGTGAAAATTCCTGTTCTGAAAAGAGAAAGGCAGACTCACAGTCAAACAGAAATCCCCACAACACTCATTCGTCTCTCTCTCCTCTCCCTCTTTCTCTCTTCTTCTCTCCCCTTCCCCTTTCTTTCCTCCCTCTCTCTCCTCTCCTATCTATGTCCTCTCTTCTTTCTCTTTCACACCTACACTTGTTCCCCTGCTCTCCTGCTGTCTCTGCTCTGATCTGCACAATTCTTCCTCCCGCACAGATGATGTGTATGTCTTCCTTCTATTCCTAGTCAACACTATCATTGAAGTTCTGTTAGATCTTGTCTTCATTGTCATAGTCCTAATTGTCCTCCCTCCCTTCTCTTCCTCTCTTTGCTCTCCTTCTCATTCCTCTCCTTATGTGTATCTCGCTCTAAGGTTTTCTCTCTCTTGATCCCTTTCTTGTAGTTTGACTTAATAATAAAATTCTCATCAGTAGAACTGAGCACAAAGAAGAATCAATCCAGTTCAGGCCAATCACTGTGGAATAAATTGGGTAGCGCTCAAACCGATGATCACTAATTCCTGTGGGATATTATCCAGGGTCCAAATTTTTTTTCAAAGAAACAGGATGATTCATTGCTTTCCCAACACTAGCTCTTGAGGAATTCAAACTAAGGTGACATTGAGAATGACACTTTAGGCAGTTTCTGATGTGGAATATCTTCAACCTCTGACACTTGAGATCACTTCTTTGTGCTTTGTCTTAGAAAATGTACAGTGGTGTTAGCACATCTGTTGAGAGCAGCTGGTGTTAGAATGTTCACCTTAAAAGCGGGCTTCTATAGCATTCAGTTAAGACTTTCTGGATATTACTTAGTTTTTACAATGTTCTGAGCCATAGAGGATTTTGCTCTTGTACCATCTAGGCTTAAATTATATATACTCACTGTTTATATTTGGGTGCGCACACCACTGCAATTGATTGTGGCAGCATCTTCTGGTAGCAAAAATGTGTGTGTACATCCACACTCGACAAAAAGGCAGTCTGGGTTGGATGGGTCTATGGAGACAATAGAATTCAAGAAATCACAGTAAGCCCAATGACATACCCAACACAGCAGGTCCCAAGAATTTTCAACCACTGCCTCCCACAATGACTCGCCAAATCATGCTGGGACACATCTCTTGTTTGCTAGGTGGAGAAGGGAGAGGAAATGAACTCACTTATCAACCTAATCTATAAGGTCAGTAGAAGGTGAGCTTAAACAATTACTTGAGGCTGTTCCCTCACTGAGGACTAGACTTTTATTCATCCATGCTTACTTATACCTGATGTCTAAACAGTAACCATTCCAAGTTTGTCCTTTAGCTTCTAACCTACATCTGCTTCCATCCTGCCAACAAAAGAATCCATTCCATCTTAACCAAGAGTTCCCAAACTATTTAAAACTTCAGTTCAACAGACTCTGTGATTCTTCAGTTCCCTGCCATTAAGAGCTGTGGGATATCTTCCTATGTGAAGAGAAGCCACATCTGGTCGTATTTTGTGTTACTCTACCTAGTACTGTTGCATTAACTTATGCCTCTTCCCTCCCTTCCTTCATTGCCAACCAGGTTTAAGCACACCTCAGGCAACTGCATGCCACAAAGGGGATGAACATTGCAGATGTTAAGGCAAGCAAGCCAGATGTAAAAACCAAATATATAACCTCTACATTTCAAGACACAAGCAGTACTGAAATGCTGATATCATGGAGGAAGGCACAATTAGTAGATGAATTCTAATGAAATGAGGAAGAGTTGGTTAGAACAAGAAGGAGATCAATCTCAGAAGAGAGAAGTTGCAAAGCTTGACAAGGCTCTTGGAAGGTTCCTGTTTCCTTCTCTAAGAGTATTATTCACATGGATGTTTCATCAAGCAGTCATTAATTACACTGTAAATGTATGCATACTTACAAGTTAGCTATATTTTAAAATAGAAAACTTTTGGAAAAAGAAAGGAAATAAAAACTGGTAAAACCAACAAAACACGCCATTTCCCCATTCATGTACATTTGAAGATTCTGTTAAACTAGTTCTGCACAGAGTGGCCTCATGACTCTCCCTTCCTAAGGGATCTACAGCCTAGATGAAGACTCAACATGACAGTCCTGTGAGACTGCCACATAGCCATAAACTCACCCCATTTTTTCAAGCCTCTTTCTTTCTGGTTATTACATTTTGGTGCCAAAGTCATCATCCAGAAGTCTTACCTCCAGAATGACAGGATTCCAGTATTCTGCCTTTATACTCAGATGTGTATGGATTAGTTAAACATTGCAATCTCTGGCACCATGGCCTGCTTAAATTTCAGAAGCCAAACTCATCAATGAACCCCAGCTCCAGCATGAGAACTGAATCCCCTTGCAGATGGAGATTGTCCCTAGGTCACATCCTGAATTCTCTCTCTTACTGTCCCTGGTCTGTGGCTTCTGGGAAACCCATGCCCAGTTCTCCTGCAGCCTTTTGTTATGGAATAACCTACTGTGCTCAAGCAGTCCCCATTAGGTCTTGTTAGCTATCAGAAAGTCACTTCTTCTGCTGTCACACTCACCATTTACCTGGTATTCTGAATCTCTTCAACAAAAGCCCCCAGGCGATTATCTCCTGCCTTCACCTGGCTTCACAGAACCTACTTCCATCTGCCATGGTGTATTATTGTAAGGCAAATAAGCAAATTTGGATGCAACTTTGCATGAAGAAGCTCTTTTGGTGTACACAAACCAAGTACTTCTTCATAAAGGCAAAAAGAAATCAACAGAGGGAACTCTCTTGACTGAGTGAAATACTTCCATACAGCATTTAGGGTGATGGTATCTACACCATGCTTTCTTACCTCCTAGGGAGTCTACAATGCACAACACATTAACAAAGAAGTGGAACAATGAAGAACTACACTGAGGAAGAGGTAAATTAGTAAAGCTGAAATTTCACCAAGGAATGTGCCTTTTGACTAAACACTAGAACACTAGTGACTGTGGGTGCTCAGAGATGGATGAAATTCATCTTGATTGTGCAGACACAGATCTGGGTTCGCCACCTGTGAAATCAATTTGCTTACATGAATCCAACCTAACGTCAGAAGGCCCAGTTCCTCTTGCATAAAATATATTTCTTCCTCTTTCTCGGCATAACAATAATTAGGGCCTGCTGTCTGCACAGGAATAATTATGTGGGTCACATGGTATTCTTCTTTGACCTACCACAAGAAAACAACTTGTTACAGTTACTGTCAATCCAACTTTCCATAAATAAATGAAGCCCTCACCCCAGTGAATGACCCTCATCATTTACCCTCACCCCAGTGTTTCCCCACCTTGCCTGCTCCAGTGCTTTCCTGGGAAACAGAAAAATGTAGGAGTGATGAGATGAACATGAGATGTCTCCCATAGCATATCCTATGTTAGGGTTATGTTTGCAGCAGGCATTAGGTCTGCTCACAGGTCTTGAGGTGTTTAGTTTCTATTCTAAGCCTTAGCACAGAGTAGGTAATAACCAGGACACAGAAAGTCATCAAATTCAAGTTAGCTAATGTCATTTCACACATGGTTCCTTCTGTTGAGGGATATGTATGGATACAGCCCCTAGATATATTCTCTGGGAATTATGGACAGCCAAAGGGGAAGAAGAAACAGCCTCAGATAAGGAAGGAGTGTTCATATATTTACCATGGTACCACATAATACACTGCATGTCTCTATGCCTTTCCTGGTGTTCTTCCGTGCACAACGCAGAAACTTATCACAAAGGTCCTTTGGAAGGACTACAGGGCAGAGGCCTTTGGAGTTCTGACCTGTAATGGAAAAGAGAGAGAAGTCTGAGGTTACAGGACCTGGTGTCCATGAGCAGAGCTCAGCCTGGTGGCCTGGAGGAAAAATCACAAAGATATTGGGTATCTCTTCAGGAGCCCCCTGCCTATAATAGAACCACAATCCAGGTGAGAACTTTCTTCTCAAAGCTCTTTCTAGAGCTCAGTGGTAGCTGAGAGCATGAACTTCACTGTCGGCTAGAGTGGATGGAAGAACCTATTTCTGGGTGTGACTGAGAGTTGCCTGTAATAAGTTTCTTTGTGGGTTCACAGACTCCGTGGTCAAAGTCCCCTCCCAACTCAGGTGGGTAACATGAACCCCTTTTGGGAGCTCAACAGGACAAAAACACAGAAAAAAAATGGTATACTTCCAACATGACTCTCCTCAGATAGCCATGTCTTCTTTGTCCATGGTTCAGCTTTTCAGGTCTGGTGACCTCTGCACTCTCAGTTCTGGAAGTACATTTCCCTGAGTCTTCATTTCTCTTGAGACTGAGTCTCATAAAAGTGGCATTCATCGACTCTGCCTTTCTAACATAGACTGACCCTAACTACTAGCATTTTATAGCTTGAATTGAAGAAAGCTTGTAGAGGGCATGGTATGTCTTGTTGACCATTTTCTGCAAGAGGTTTGAGAACACAGAAACACAGTCAAATTTTGAGAGTTTCAAATTACATGGAAACATACACAGTCTTTCTCAAGGTCAGAGCATCACTGACAGTCCCATGTTGTAGGGATGGGGGAGACCCTTGAGAACCTAGAAATACATGGCCATTCATTTGCACATACAAGTGAGTAATGTTGCATTCTAGACTCTTAAGGATGTGTGAAGATGGTGCACTAAACTCAGCAAAGTGTCTGGGACAGGATTCTCAAATTAGCTGAGGCCACATACTCTATCCTGGTTGTTTCTACAGTCCAAAAAGAACAGAATAGCTTACTTCTGCTCAGATGTTATGTTATGCAGATGTGTAGACTGCTGAGTGCACAGGCTTTAGGCTCTCTAAGACTGACTCTCTAAGATCATCTGTAAATATGTGGATTGTTGAATACAGCTGGGACAGTATGACTCTCACCAATGTGTAATTAAGAAGGGAATTGCAATGTTGCTTGAAGTTGTCATTCAAGGAGAGATTTGACTCATGCCAGTACAGACAAGAATCAACCAATACTTTAGAAATATGTAAAATTCCAGCCCAATAGTTGCATATTTGGATTTTAAGCATTTCCTAGGTGAGGGGCCAGGATTTCAAGTTGAGGCCTATTTAGGCTGTAAAGCCAGATGATACAAATAAAAAATAAAAGTAATAATGTATTTAGGTGGCATATTTGAGAACTTTTTTCTTCAATATTCATGATTTCTCCTTTGAAATCCTTCATATATGAACCATGTGTTTGCACATGTCTATGATATGTGTGCATTTTTCAGAATGTGCATGTTCATGTGTGGGCAAGGATGCGCAGGTGCTATAGCACTTCTGCAGATGTGAGCAGACTTCCTGGAGTGCAGGCCTTCCCCGGTACTGTTTGTCTAACAGAATCTCTCTGTGCTCTGTGTCTTCCCTGCTATCTGTGCTGTGAAAAAACAGATCTTCTCTGTCTCCCTGTCTCATGTAACCTGAAGAGAACTTAGAATAGGGAGGTGGCCACCCACAGACAATTGTCAGGTGATTTCTGGAGATTCCACCCCAAGTTTGAGGCTGTCACAGCTAGCACTTCAGTCAGTGTCATTATCTCCCTGACCTACTAGGAGAATCCTACAGAGGTCTACCTAATGCTGAAAATTCAATCACATACAACCAAAAGAGTCTTTTCGGAATTACCAATGCACAGCAAATCCTCACGATGAGCAATAATTCAGGAGTATTTTAATGTGCTTCCTCTATTCTCTCAGGAACTCTGGAAAGATGAGGATTTGAATATCATGAGTTTTGAAGAAACTGAACTGGCTTAAACTAAGTTAAAGGCTTCTTTTATGGGAAGTGAGATGGCAGGAAGGAAAGAGAAAATACTAGTCACTCGAGGTTCTACTACCACAGCAAAGGGGATCCAGGAAAGACAAAGACTGGGGACATTGCAAGGGGAATGAAGCTTTCTCTGTGCTGCTTAGTGCTCCCAACTTCAGACACCTCTTCAAAAGCACAGCATTACTAGACTGGTGAGGTGCACTCGCAAATGTGTGTGGCTGACCCAGATGCAATAGGCTCCATTT